ATAACTCATCTATTTAGCCTGCAAGGGACGGTCAAGGCTAGAGTGTACGTGGTCCTTAGCCACTCTTCCTCATAACGCTTGAGCTCATTTAGATCCGCATATCCGCATCCCTGTCGCCATGCTGAACGTTCGCATTGTGCCTTCTTCTGGCTGCATCCTGGTATCTGGGCCATCTCGGCACCGCTCTCTCAGCATCCTACCGACTTCGGGCCTGCTGAAGCCACACGGAAAGGCCGCATTGCTCACGCTGACCAGATATTCAGCTTCAATGCAGTCCGGTAACCATTTCTGGGTGCAGAACGTTACGGGATGAAAACACTTTCGCGTACTGCCTCACTAGCGGCCGCCGTCTAGGAACATGAAGTTCACGCGGTCCCAACGTTGGGCCCTTGCAGCTGGGGAGTCATGGCACACTAGCTTAGCTGGCAATGGAGCCGTGGGCGGCGGTGGAGTGGGCACAGGGACTACTGCTTGTGTGCGTTGATCGTCTCATGGGCTAGACCCGCGAACTGGCGGATGGCTAGAGACGAACATCACCAGTAGAACTGCCTCAAACGTCCAGTGTCTCTGTTCAAGGTCTAGCAGTGCGCTCGGTATGGGGCGATTGCTGCGCTACTCTGGCCATCAACTGTTTGCCATCCGAACCAGGTAAAGTCTTCCTAGCGACCAGTCTCGTAGAGCGTCGTGGCCGCAGGAGGCAAGCGTCTCCCTCCCAAGCACTTCATCACGGCGCATTGCGTTCGTACTCAGTTGCAAGTCGTGTATATCTCCTCGGGCTTCACCTACCCAATCCATCAGATCCATTGCCAGGAGTCGCCAATCATTTCTGACAGCCCATCCTAGCAGCCACAGCCTGAATAGCGTATGATCCTGAGGAGTCATGTCCATGTCCCCTAGCTGATGCCGCCGTTACTACCATTACCCCCACCCCCTATCGTCGTCCCGAGGCCTAGCTACCCTGACATCCCTGTCGCTTTGCAATCCTCCGATGCATGAATACTAACCTCCAATTGTACATATTCGTACGCCTTTCCCGGCTTACTTTCAGGTACCTCCTGTTAGCGACCTACATTCCCCATGTTGTTGTATGCATCTGCGGCGCCAGTACGTGCACAGTCCTCCCCCTCCACCATCTTGTGGCTTGACGACCATCCAAACAATTTATTATCCTTTTTACAGTTCGCTTAATGCTGTTGTAACCTATCACGACGGCCAACGCGTGAATCTCGTCCTGTAAGCGAAATCAAGACTGGAGTTGGGATAGAACTATCTGCATCATCAACGCACCTGCCCCGTCTTTCGTCCTGCCTATTTCCAATCTCAACATCTGGAACGACACCATTCGCCTTGCCACATTCCGCTCTGTTCAACACTCGTTTATTGCAATATTGACACTGTTGAGTTCTTACTCTGTCCAAGATCTCAGCCCACGCTGTTCTGCTCATTCAAGAGAACGACCACATCTCCTTTCGGATCGCGTTCAATAAATCCGTCTAGAATTGGAATCGAAGCCTACAACTACTGTTATCATCTATATTGCAAGGTATCAGGACATCGGCTCTGACGATGCCTTCCTTTGGACATGACATGTCAACTGGCGGCGTGCAAAAGGTGGAAGAATACGACGATACAGATTCATGGAACTGGCCCCAACAGCCTAGCTCTGGCGAAGCTTCATGCTCGAATATGTTCGATCCTTTCATGTACGCCAGGTTCATTCCTCCCACACTACAGCGAGTTTGCCAATCGCCTCACCATCATCCAATCGCCACTGCTTGCGTCGTTCCAACAGCGACTAACACACCACCATTCCCTGGGCCCCAGGTCACAGGAGACATGGTCAAAGTGCAGCCGGCATTCAAGCCCACGTGGCAGGGATTCCTAGACACTACCAGAGATGCCATGACTGTAGTAGAAGCAGCACTCCAAGGCCGCCTCAGCCATATTGGTCGCAGACCGCACGACAAAGAGCGCGCAGGGATGCTTACTTCCGGAACCGTATTGGTGTATGAGGAGAATGCCTCCGGTATCAAGCGATGGACCGATGCTGTTCATTGGTCCCCAAGCCGAGTCATGAACAACTGTCTTATATACCGCCAGCTTGTACGGGCGCTGAAGCCCGAG